CTGCAAACCAAGGCGTGCACAAGTTCCCCCCACCTCTCCACCGCACTTCCATCAACCCGGCATGCCTAACACCCCCACAGGATGTGCACACATCCCCTCTGATGCACTCACGTCCTTTGGAGAGTGTCTGGGTGTTCTGGGCGCTGAGGGTGGGTGCCTGTGGGATGACAGTGAGAGGGCGGAGTGGTGATGCCCTGTTCCCACGGAGGCCAGTGCAGGTACGAGATCTGGGGAGTTAATGCAGGTGCTGAGATGGGAGCAGATACAGACAGACACACCTGGTGGGCGCGGGCGGCCCTCGCTGAGGTGCCTTCGGTTAGCGTTCAAGATCAAGAACCCAGAGGTGGAGAGGAATTCTGTCCTCTCAGTGAAACAGTGGGTTAGTCAGGGCGACTGTAGAGGAGGAATGTGCACTTTGGGTGCCAGCACCCATGAGCGAAGGCTGCCCTGACTGAGCCTCGCTTGCTTGGAGCCTAGCGCACTTCTGCCGGGCAGCAGGTGACAGGACGTGCTTTTCCGAATTAATGAGAGAAAACGTTGATTCTCCTGCTGCCCACGAAGGTGAAAAGTGAAGTGGGGAGACATGTAGGGAGTGAGCAAGGTTCCCTGTCTGGGGGTTCCAAATCTGCTGTTGGTTTCTTTCACCGCTGACTAGAGATATACAGGGTGTCCCCCCAAAATGTATACACACTTTGAATACCTACTAATTCCAATGGTTTTAAGCATAAGAAAGAAACAACAATGGAGCTGTTATCTGTTAAAAGTGTGGGCACAAACAGGTAGTTGGACATTCCCTGAGGGGAGAGAGTGAAGGCCAGACTGAGGGGCCCTTCTCCCCCCCCCCAACCCCAGTGCACGAATTTCGTGCACTGGGCTACTAGTCTATATATATTTATAAAAAGGCAGTGACCATGACGACCGTGACAACTGTTCGACCAGTCACTATGTGGTGCTAGCATAGATGCATAGACACAGGTAAAGTCTATGAGTGAACTAAGAATGAACAAGACAAATGCTTGCCTTCATGGAGCTTGCACTGTAAGAAGGTTAGGTCAGGGATGAGAATTCAAAATTGCCACCAGCCCAGACCTGAGGTGCCACTTCTCAGAGTGACCAGAGATACATCCGGTAGTGGACTGGGGGCATGACTGAAGGGCTGGTGCTGACAGGAAGGCGGGCCATTCTGGATTTCCCAGAGGAGCCAATGGCAGCCTAGGAGGCGGGGCTGAGGAGGGGTTTTAAGGGCAACAGCTGTTTGGTGTAAGTTGTAAGAAAACGGTTCAATTTTTTAATGACCGGTTTGGCAGTATAGTGCATATGGCTGGCTATCAGTCCAGATATAGGGATTATGTATTTTTGTCTGCCAAGAGCATCTCCTCCTGATGAAAAAAGGCCCCCCCCACCATTTAAGCAATCCTATCCTATATAATCTATCTATACAACTAAAAAAGTAATATGCTAACAGGTGAGCAGTTAGGAGCCAGTGGTCCTGGATTACGAGAGGGGTCCTGGATTGGAGAGGGTGCAGGCCAGGGTGAGGGACACCCCCCCCGCACACTAATTTTGTGCTCCAGGCCTGTAATCTATATATATAAAAGCCTAAGCAACCGAACAACTGTTTGGTTGCTATGATGTGTGGTGACCACCGGGGGGCAGATGCTCAACCCAGGAGCTGCCCCCTGGTGGTCGGTGTGCTCCCACAGTGGGAGCGCTGCTCAGCTGACTGATGGGTGCCAGACACCGGACTCATGGCTAGTGAGCACAGCTGTGGAGGCACGAGCCTCTCCCACCTCCATGGCAGCATGCTACTGAGCTGCAACAGCAGCAGGCACAGTGGGGCCATGATGTGTGGGAGCAGCGCAACACTCGGCCCAGGCTGGGGCTCCTCCCCAGCTGCCTGCTGCTTCGCGCACTACTACATCCCTCAGGAGATGTTGGACAGCCGGATTCAACCCGATCCCTGCAGGCCTGTGGGGATTGGGCCAAAATTGGCAGTCCAACATCCCCTGGGGGGTCCCATATTGCAAGAGGGCACAGGCCAGGCTGAGGGACCCCACTGGTGCACAAACCCTTGCACCGGGCCTCTAGTAGGATCATAATTGGTTTTCTTCATTGTGGGTGATACCAGTGGCTTACTGGGGTGCCTTCCTGCAAGCATGTGCCTGAGCCGCTGCTGTATGTGGAGTTCCAGTGGACCTGGCTGGCTTCCTGGGGCTCAGCCCTCACCCCATGGCATGCCCAGGGCTCGGTCTCCCGTCCCAGTGCTCCTGTCAGCGTACACATGCGGGCCAACGCTCTGATTTAAACATTTTTTGCTCAATGCTCACCATTTCCTCTGTTACTTCAACTCACTTTTAAGAAGTTTTGGGTTTTTTGTTTTTTTTTATTGGCTACTATAATATGGGTGAGAGCAGGCTTGATAATTTCTTGAGAACATAATAGTGTTAGAAAAGTGCATTGGTTTTAATTTATCCAGGATCAATTGCATTAAAGCAGAAAGACCTTTCAAAATATCTATCTACCAGACTGCTGGAAATGGAAACCTTCACTGTCCATCTTTCCTCATGTTCATGGCCTCCCCTTGGGGTTCTCCTGTGAACGTGCAGCTGGTGCACCTGCAGGAGGTGTCATCCTGGAGCCCATTGGCTCAGCTGCAGGGGGAGTGGGCCTGATGCGGCTCCAGAACTGCAACTCTTAATTAAATCAGTTTCTCAAATAGTGAGCAGCTGTTTCTCTTATCCTTTTACGCACACAAGCATGCATGTGCACATACGCAGATCACATAACATGTGCTACTTTGAATGAGTGAAGAGAGTATAATGATTTTAGAGTGTTGTCTCCTTGAATTTGGAGAAGGCTATAAATGGAGCGTGGAAAAAGCTACAAACAGAAAAACAAGATAGACATTAATATTTCTCAATCTTGCCCAGTACCTTCCACTTTATCTTCAGGAGTTAAGAGTAGATAAAAGGTTAGCCTTAAAATATTTGTCATGCACTATGCATATCCTACATAATAAAGAGCTAATATGCTAATGGTTGTGACACCCTTACACCGTAACGACCATCAGCAGGTGTGGGTGGGTGGGGACTTGCAGCATTGGGGGCTTGCGTCACACCATCACAATCCATCACCAGGAGGCCTGGGGCCCAGTGGAGGCCTCCATGCGGCAAGGCCTGGGGGACAGCCCAAGGTGACTCACGGGACTGAGGGCGGGGTTTGAAGCACCCAGAGCAGGCCAGAGGGATCGGGGTCAGGGCCAGATGCACTCGAGCTCTGGATGGAGAGGTTAGGGCAGGGGAGGGCAAACTTTTTGACTCGAGGGCCACAATGGGTTCTTAAACTGGACTGGAGGGCTGGAACAAAAGCCTGGGTGGAGTGTTTGTGTGAACTAATATAAATTCAAAGTAAACATCATTACATAAAAGGGTACGGTCTTTTTTTTTAGTTTTATTCATTTCAAATGGGCTGGATCTGGCCCACGGGCCGTAGTTTGTCCACGGCTGGGTTAGGGTGTCAAGGCAGGTGGGCGGGGCCACATGATTTCGCACGCTGGGTCAACTTATACTAGTAAGTATATAAGTTGTTTGGTTTATCTCTTCTTGTCCTGACAGCCCCATATCAAGGTATGTCAGTCTGTTCCATGCCTCCATGCTTCAAGTCTTATTTTGCTTGTCACTTCATTTTGTTCATTAGATTCCACAAATAAGTGAGAGCCTGTGATATTTGTCTTTCTCAGATTGTCTTATTTCACTCAGCATATTTTTCCAGGTCCATCCTTGTTAGTGAAGATGTGGGGGTGGGGGCACCAAGGGGCTGGGAGGAGCGGGGTAAAGGGGGGGAAATGGGAGACATCTGTAATACTATCAACTATAAGAAAATATACTAATGACCAAAAAAAATAAAATAAATGTGTTAAAAAACATTTGTCATGTGGAAGAAAGATGAGGTAGCTCTGCTTTGTATTTATTTAAAAAATAAAAATTGGGATGGAGGAGTGAAGTAGAACTTGCAGAAGAGTATCTACAAAAAGAAACATGCAAGCCCTGGCTAGCGTGGCTCAGTGGCTGAGCGTAGTCCTGTACACGCAAGGTCACCAGTTCAGTTCTAGTCAGAGCACATGCTTAGCTTTCAGGTTCCATCCCCGGGCAGGGTGCATGTAGGAGGCAAATGATGTTTCTCTCTCTCCCTCTCCCTTCCTCTCTAAAATCAATAAAAACATATTTTAAAAAAAAAGAAAGATGCAAGATTGACTGGGGACATGACAATTAATGCAGCATATAGACTTGAACTCAACCCTGTGTTTGAAAATTACAATAAACGGCATTGCCCTAACCAGTTTGGTTCAGTGGATAGAGTGTCGGCCTGTGGACTGAAGGGTCCCAGGTTCGATTCCAGTCAAGGGCATGTACCTGGGTTGCGGGCACATTCCTAGTGGTGGGTGTGCAGGAGGCAGCTGATCAATGTTTCTCTCTCATCTTTGTTTCTAACTCTCCCTTTCCCTTCCTCTCTGTAAAAAATCAATAAAACAAACAAAAAACAACACGGCATTGTTGGGACGGTTGATGCAATACAATATATATTAGGTAATAATAACATACTAGTTACATTCCTGAATTTGATCATTGTCCTATCGTTATTTGAGAGAATTTTTTTATTCTTAGGAAATGCACACTAAATATTAAAGGGTATCAAGCAAACTACTGAGGTGGTTCAGGAATACATACATGCATAAATAGTAGAATATGTCATAAATGGGCAAATGAACACGTGACCCTGGATCCTCTCTCACAGTGATTCAGACATGGCTCGTGGCTGTACTCACCTGTAATCCTTATAGTACTAAGTCTCAGTTCTAAATGGTGGACAGCTGACTGTATCAGCATGTGTTGGGTTGACAGTATTGTATTAGTGTGTTTTCTTAATTGATTGACTAGTTTTAATCATATGGAAAATTATAATCTCTTGTTTAACACATGAATAAATTGAATTTTTTATAGGTTTAAGCTGAATTTTGGGACATGGCCACTGCTTCCCCAAGGTCTGACACTAGTAATAACCACAGTGGAAGGTTGCAGTTACAGGTAACTGGTAAGTTATTTCCATAATAGTGTAAAATAGTGGTTCCCAGGTAAATCTTTCTTTCCATCTGAATTCAGCAGATTTATTCCATAAGGATCTCTTCCTTTAGATTCATGCTATAGTGTATTTGTTGCAACAGGCCTCCATGGTAGACACCCTCTAAAGGTGTTTTATTTGTCCAGTAAGTATTTATGGGACCTGTGCTGGGTGTGGAGAAGATAGGTCCTCTTTGGTAGGAGAATTTGGGTACTGCAACTGGCATCATCGAGTTGGCCCTTAAATGATTATTTGGATAGAGAAGGAAGCTGAAGGCCTTTTTCATCCATTTAGCCATCCATTCAGTCATTGGGCAAATATTTGTTAAGTAGAGTTACACATGTGGAAACATAAGCCCTAGTTCTCCAGGGATTTGTGGTGGGACAGTTACCATGCAGAGTGGCCGTTAACTGCATGCAGTGAGGACCTAGAAGGTGGTGTCTTAGGTCCGCTTGGGATTGCAGGGGCCTATGGACATACAGAATGTATAAGAGAAGGACTCACAGAGGGTAACACTTGAATTTGCGCAGGAGTAATCGGAGTTCATCTCCAGTTAGGTTGGCAGGAGAGAGCATTAGAGGGAACAGCATTTGCAAGAGCATGGAAGAGCCTTGGTTAGGGGACTTTAGATAATTCATTCTTGTTAGTTGGAATACATGATCCAAGGAAGAATGATCCTTAAGCCAACAGTTTTACTTCTAGAAATTTATTTTGGAGAATTGATATTGCTTACATAATTATAAACATTAGTTTATGGTTTAGAAAGTATTATATAATTTTCATAATTATAAATAATGTGTAATTTATGTAATTAAGTATATTTATATTTGTTTATATAAATAATATAAATTTCTGCAAGATAATTTCCTATGAGTAATGTATATATGGTTTGTAATATACGTGTCATATATAAATATGTGTAGAATTTTTAGTATGTGTTATGTAAATATATATATATAAATTATTATAAATGTGTATGTGTATATATATATATACACACGTACACACTCAGTGGAATTCTAGGTAGACAATAAAATGAAAGAAATGAGTATGTGTACCAGTAGGAGCCATGTTCTAAGAGAATATTGTTAATTGAAAGAACAGGGCATGGAATAGTGTGTAATGAGCTACCACATGGATGTAAAACAGGAGTGGGTGTGTATGCAGCTCTATGCCTTGACCACTAGAAGATTTGCCTCAGGAGGGTGGGAGTCAGGCAGGGTAAGAAGGAGATGCCCTGTGGTTCCCATGGCACTCATTACTGTGAGGTCAGTCGTTTCTAGTTTAAAATGAACAGGTAAGGAATGCTTCTTGTCTTAGAAAGCAAAGCACAAATCCTGAGTTTGTGCTGATATCAAGGTAGCAGAAAACATCCAATCAGAACAGGGGAAAAAATAAGAATCTAAGAAAATGAGGATAGTTCAAGGAGCCTCTGGGACAACCTCAGGCATGACTACATCTGCAACAGAAGGAGAAGAGAGATAGCAAGGACTTGAGAACTTATTTGAACAAAGAATGACTGAAAAATTCTACCACCTGTTAAAGGAAAAAGGAAGTGCAGAGACCCCTAAACAGGATGAACCCAAAGAGACCTAGATACATAATGATAAAATTCCAAAGATTAAAGACAAAGAAAGAATTTAAAAGCAGCAAGAAAAAAAGCAGTTAATTACCTACAAAGGAGCTACCATAAGACTCAGCTGATTTCTCAGCAGAACCTTGCAGGCCAGAAGCGAGTGGCAAGACATATTCAAACTGATGAATAGCTAGCCAGGGCTTACAACCAAGACTACTCTACACAGCAAGTCTGTCATTTAGAATCAAAGGACAGATACATAGCTTCCCAGACAAGAAAAGCTAAAGGAGTTCACCACCACCAAACAAGTATTATAAGAAGTGTTAAAGTCTTGAAAAAGAAGGAGGGGTGAATGGAGGAAGGGGAAGAAGAAGAAAGATAAAAAATGTGAATAATAAAATGGTGAAGCTACACACCTATCAACAATTACTTAAATGTAAATAGAATGAATGCCCCAGTCAAAAAAACATACCGTGGCTGAAGGGATAAGAGAATAAGACCCTTATCTATGCTGCCTGCAAGAAACCCACTCCAGATCCAGACACACACAGACTGAACGTAAAGAGATGGAAAATGGTATTTCATGTAAATGGAATGAGAAAAAAAACAAACTTGAGGTAGCAGTACTTCTGTCAGACAAAATAGACTGGAAAACAAAGGCTATGGGACAAGAAGGACCCAGCAATTCCACTTCTGGGTATTTATCCGAGGAAACCCAAAACACGAATTCAAAAGACCTATGCACCCCTGTGTTCATTGCAGCATTGACAATAGCCAAGATATGGCAGCCACGTAAGTGCCCATCAATAGATGAATGGATAAGCAAGAGGTGCCACATGTATACAATAGAATTTGACTCAGCTATAAAGAATGAAATTTTGCATCTGTAACATGGATGGATCTAGAGCAGCGGTTCTCAACCTGTGAGTCGCGACCCCTTTCAGGCTCAAAAGACCCTTTCACAGGGGTCGCCTAAGACCATTGGAAAACATATATAATTACATATTGTTTTTGTGATTAATCACTATGCTTTAATTATGTTTGATTTATAACAATGAAATTGGGGGTCACCACAACATGAGGAACTGTATTAAAGGGTTGAGGCATTAGGAAGGTTGGGAACCACTGATCTAGAGGATATTATGCTGAGTGAAATGGGTCAGACACAGAGAGGTAAAAGCCATGTAATTTCACATATGTATGGAATCTAAAAAACAAAATGAACAAACAAACTCAGACACAGGTAGTATTTTGATGGTTGCCGGAATTCAGGCTCATTGGGGGCTGGATGAAAAGGGGGAAGGAATTAAGATGTGCAAATTGCCAGTTATAAAAAGTCATGGGGATGTAAAATATAGGAAATATGTCAATAATATTGTAATAACTATGTCTGGTGTCAGATCGGGTGATCACATAGTGTAATCACTATGTTGTACACCTGAAACTAATATATTGTGTGTAAACTGTAACTGAAAATAAATTATTTTTTAAAAAGAAAGTAGGTTACTACAGTTGACTCGAGCAATTTGAGGGTTGGGGCGCCAATCTCCTAAGTAGCTAAATATCCAAATATAACTGGGTTGTTGTTTGTTTGTTTTTAAGAGATAGAGACAGAGACATCAGTTTTTATTGTTTTACTTATTTTTGTATAATTGGTTGATTCTTTTTTTAATATATTTTTATTGATCTCAGAGAGGAAGGGAGAGGGAGAGAGAGAGAAAAACATCAATGATGAGAGTGAATCACTGATTGGCTGCCTCCTGCACACCACCTACTGGGGATTGAGCCCGCCGCCCAGGCATGTTGTCCTTGACCGGAATCAAACCCGGGACCCTTCAGTCCTCAGGCCGACGCTCTATCCACTGAGCCAAACTGGCTAGGGCCTTTGGTTGATTCTTGTATATGCCTTGACTAGGGCTCAAACCCACAGCCTTGCTGTATTGGGACAGTGCTCTAAGTCAGAGTTGAGGAACCTTTTTTCTGTCAAGGGCTATTTGGATATTTATAGCATAATTCAAGGGCCATACAAAAGCATCAACTTAAAAAATTAGCTTGCTATATTTGGTCAAACATTTACTAGTAATTAACTCACCCCTAATGCCTTGGCAGGGCCATATCAAATGATTTTTTAAAAATATGTCTTTATTGATTTTAGAGAAGAGAAAGAGCGACATAGAAACATGGATGATGGAGAGACATTGATCGGCTGCCTCCTGCACGCCCCGCACTGGGGATTGAGCCCACAACCCAGGCATGTGTCCTGACTGGGAATCAAACTAGTGACTTCTTTGTTTATGGGTCAATGCTCAGTCATTGAGCCATATCAGCTGGGCCTACGTATAACTGTTGACTCCCCCAAAACTTAACTACTAATAGCCAACTGTAGACCTGAAGGTTAACACATATTTTATATGTTATTTGTATGTATACTGTATTCTCACAATAAAGCTAGAGAAAAGACAATTAAGAAAACCATAAGGAAGAAAAAATACATATATAATACTGTATATGTTTATTGAAAACAAACTAAGTGAACCGCACGGTTTAAACCTGTATTGGTGAAGGGGCAACTATAGTAGCTCAGGGTTGGGGAAAGGGGAGTTGGGAAGAAAGGGGTGTTTTTTGGGGTGGTGACTATTTTTAAAAATTGATTATGGTGGTGGTTGCACAACCACCATGAATTATATACTTGAAGTGAGTAAATTATATGGGTATGTGCAATATATTTCAATAATACTGTCAAAATTCAAATGGTTCTCAGGCATTATCATATTCATGTTTTGGGTTTTTTTTTTGTTTGTGTGTTTTTTTCTTTTTTAAAATATATTTTATTGATTTTTTTCAGAGAGGAAGGGAGAGGGATAGAGAGTTAGAAACATCGATAAGAGAGAAACATTGATCAGCTGTCTTTTGCACACCTCCTATTGGGGATATACCCACAACCAAGGTACATGCCCTTGACTGGAATCGAACCTGGGACCTTTCAGTCCACAGGCCAGCACTCTATCCACTGAGCCAAACCGGCTAGGGCTATCATATTCTTGTTGTAGTGGGGGTTTTTTCATTCTGTCAATGAAGAGTTTGAGTTGCACAAGTAGTACCATTTCATTTTTATTGATTTATTAGTATAAATACTGCTTTCTGGCTACATATATTCACAGTGATTGTCATGTTTCTGTTAGTTTCTAGTGCCAAACTAAAAAGAAAAAAGAACTGGTTTGGAACAGCAATCTATACAGAAGTAGTTGTAGATGGAGAAATTAAGAAAACAGCAAAATCCAACAGTTCTTCTAATCCCAAGTGGGACGAGCAGCTGACCATGTGAGTACCGCAGAGGGGACGCGGCCTTCAGAGGGAAGTGTGCTGCTTGGAATCTTAAAAATTAGTATCTCGTAGGAAAGCTTCATGGTAATGACTGCTGTGTTCCAGTATGAATAGTCAATTCAAAGTGAAAAAATTGTGGGTTAATTTCCTTTCCTTTACAGAAGAGGCGAAATAATCCTTGCTTTAGCTTCATAAAGTAAAGTATTTTCATGTAGCCATATTTTCTCTTCCTGTCTTGCAAAAAGAAATAGAGCAAAAATCAATTATTCTTAATTTTGGCATTTCTGAAGTACAATGTTATAAATTTGTATATTAGAACCAGTGCCATCAATTGTCTTAAATGTTGAGAAATTTGTTCAAATAGAAATAGTTATTGTGAAGCCTCAGACTCTTTTTTAAAAAAATATATTTGTATTGATTTCAGAGAGGAAGGGAGACAGAAAGAGAGACAGAAACATCAATGATGAGAGAGAATTATTGATTGGCTGCCTTCTGCACGTCCCCTATTGGGGATCAATCCCGCAACCCAGGCATGTGCCCTTGACTAGAATTGAACCTGGGAATCCTCAATCTGCAGGCCGATGCTCTATCCACTGAGCCAAACCAGCCAGGGCAAGCCTCAGACTCTTGATGTATAGGTGGTATTTTGGTTCGCTAAGTACAAAAATTCTTATTTAACTTTTAAAGTGATGTACTTGAAAGTAAGTATTATTTTTGTAATTCAAGTAGTTTACTGTTTCATACAGTATTTTTCCCTCAAACTGAATCCTGGCTTTAAAAAGTAATTGAGGTAAGTGATGTAATAGCCATGGGCACTTGAGTGACGCATGTCCTTGCTTTGCTCGTCCCGCAGGAGTGTGAGCGCACAGAGCACGCTGGAGTTCCGGGTGTGGAGCCATCACACCCTGCGGACGGATGCTCTGTTAGGAAGAGCAGCTGTGGACCTGAGGCAGGCTCTGTTAACACACAACCGAAAGTGTAAGTTTGTTCTAACATTTGCTTCCGTAAAGTCTCTCTTAGACACTTTGAACGTATCTTGGAACCCAAAGGCTAACAGGTAGCTTGTGTTTCTGAGGGAGAAGTCGTCATGCCTGGGAGTGGTGTCGCTGACCCGGGAAATGCTGCCCCCAGGTCACAGGTGTGTGGGTGCCGGCCTGCTCAGGCACGGGGGCCTGCGGAGCTGTGACTACAGCACAGCCTCTGAGTCCAAGGGGCTTGATTTTGATTAGAAGTCATAGGAAATTAATAGGACCCTAGACAACCTGCCGAATTTTAAAAATACACTTATGATTGATTACATTCTTGGCTGCCTTTCATTCAGCCTCTTGGCTTAGCACGTGGCTTGGGTTTTTGATAGGCATCAGTTGAGTGAGCTCTAGTTCAATGTGGGGGGTATTGTGGGATTAATTTTTATTAACATTTTTAGACATATTTTTATTGATTTCAGAGAGGAAGGGAAAGGGAGAGAGAGGAACAATGAGAAAGAATCATTGTTTGGCTGCCTCCTACACGCCCCATACTGGGTATCGAGCCCACAACCTGGGCATGTGCCCTGACAGGGAATTGAACCATGACTTCCTGGTTCATAGGTTTACACTCAACCACTGAGCCGTGCTGGCCAGACAGACTTATTTTTAAAAAGAAAACTAACAAAAACTGCTTATGAACCAAATAATTTAACAAAGATATTCCTGTCACCACAGTCAAACGAGAATTCACTCACTGGCCTAGGGGAACAGGTTATTAATAAAAGGGTATTATGTTTTGGAGGTGTGTTACATCCAGAAAGTGTTTGATGATCGGCACCTGTGTGAGTGGAGTCTGCATGTCCCGAGGCTCAGGTGCAGGGCTGTGCGGCACTGCTCTCACTTGCCACAGAGAACAGGTGTTCAGGGTGCGGTCGAAGGGAAGGGAGCTGAGAGAAGGAGCAGAGAACAAACTGGCGCCGGCCACCCACGGAGGAGCCCTGGGCCCACGTGTCTGCAGAGTCCCAGGGCTTCCGGCAGGACCCTGGAAACTGGTGTGAGCGAGGGGCAGCCAGGACACGGTCCTCGGAGGCAGGCTGCCATGGGGAGGTGGTCACTGGAACCACAGAAAACACTGTGGGCCGAGATGTTCTAGAGCAGCGGTTCTCAACCTGTGGGTCGTGGCCCCCTTTGGGGTCGAATGACCCTTTCACAGGGGTCGCCTAAGACCATCAGAAAACACATATATAATTACATATTGTTTTTGTGATTAATCACTATGCTTTCATTATGTTCAATTTGTAACAATGAAAATACATCCTGCATATCAGATACTTACATTAAGATTCATAGCAGTAGCAAAATTACAGTTATGAAGTAGCAATGAAAATAATTTTATGATTGGGGGTCACCACAACATGAGGAACTGTATTAAAGGGTCGCGGCATTAGGAAGGTTGAGAACCACTGTTCTAGAGTAATTTTAGGGACAGAGGGACACGGTATGTCCTCGTGGGAAATATTGTGAGAGCGATTGGAGATGACATTTATAAAACTGTAAATCACAAACATAATAGGATTTGTAAGCAGCTTGAAAGGCCTCTCTGTTCATCTGGGTTTTCACTGCTTTCCACTGTGCACAACCAAAGGTCAGAGTTCAGTAGAGCCTCACATGCAGCCTGGCTATACGTGAAGCATGGAGCAGCACTGGACACGTGAGCACACACAGGGTCACTCATGCCCTTGTCCCCAGCAGCTCCCGACTTAACCGCTGGGGAACCTGTTTCTTACACATCTGAGTTCATATCCCCTGTGCTCCCCGGTGTTGCATGGCACTGAATTTCTGATCATGGATGAGTGTGGCTGTTCCACTTACTCAGCAGCGCCCCCTAGTCTTGACAATGAAGCAGGCTGTGGAGTGGATTCAGTATTTTTGTCTAAATGCTATTGGAATATAACTTTTTCTAAACTACCCTTATCTTTCAACATAAATTTATTTAAACATGCCCTAAAGCCTTTCTGGTACAGGGTGTAATACACAATTCCCAAATAAAAACATAAAGTGTAGTAACCCCTGTAACTGAAGAGACTCCGACTGTCATTCTGGTGTAGGGATGACCCGTTGTAGGTCATGGTCCACCTCTCTCATCCTGAATTATTTTTATGTGTGTTGTATGGAGCTGAAACGACTCTCCTTATGTCATTCTTCCATTAGTAATGATGCTCTCTGTTAGCTCTTTGTCTTTCCTTGGACAGATATTTATAGTAGAATCACCTAAAAAAGGATGAACTACAAAGACTCTCTCAGGGAAGGCAGAGGAGGAGCAGAGGGACCGGGCGATAACAGGTTGCACTTCCTGTTGCCCCCTGTCCTGAGCAGAGCCCACGCCTCTCGTCTCCGCTCCCAGGGCTGGGTTACGGCCACGCTGGTCTGCTGGGGGGAGTATGTCGTTCTCTCCTGGCTTCAGAGAGCAGAGTCTGCCTCGCCCGCTCACACAGCTCTCTGGAAGCTGTTGTGGCCCGTGGTCGTGGCTGTGCCGTGTCTGTGCTGCGCAGGGGGCGGCACTAGGCACAGGCTGCAGTGAGCACTGAGAGAAGCTGGTGCAGCTGAGGAGCCGGCTCTGCATTTCACCGCATTTAATTCATGTCAGTGTGCCCATGGGCCACTCCTGCCTGCCCTGTGGGCCTGCAGCCCGCACTGTTTTTATTATGTTGTGTTTCAAAACCAGAGTCCATTCCTGTTTGTTTTTTAAAAATAGCTTTCCTTTATTTTTGTTTGTTTACGTGTTTCTTTTGTAGAGTTTTAGTTTTTCAGAGTCGGTATCAGATTGGCTTTCTTGTAAGGGTCAATTCTGGAAGCTTCTTAATTCATTTTCTTAAGTGCTTGTCTGAAATCTGTGTTTTGCTTTAGGAAAATTCCCATATGTAGCTGCTTCTAAGTTCCTCTCACATTGGGATCCCTGCCATTCGCTGCGCTGTATTCCTATGAGCGTCCTTGTTTGTGGGCGTCATCTCGATTCTGCTCGCGTGGCCTCCCTTCTGTTGGTAACTCCTGCTTTGCTGCCTCCAATGTTGTTTTTTATGTTTGATGTTTACCATTATGTTTCTAGCTTTTCTCATAGCATATGTGAATCAGTGCATCTTATTGCCTTTACTTAAGATCTTAGAAATATTCCATACAACTTAAGGATTTATTCTCTTGACCTCTGCAATCTTTTAAATCAGACCTTAGTTGCTCTTTATTTTTCCATTCACTAGCAGCTTATCCTCCTATTTCTAGTTATTTGTGATTTTTAAAAATAAAACTGCCTGTGTTGTTTTGATGTTCTTGATATGCTTGGTGCAAAGCTTTCCATCTTCCCAGAAGTGGCATATTCTACCTGTGGGCTCTGATAACTTGAGGAACGTTAGAAACCCATAAATTAATTATATTCTTACTTTCTTAGATCTAGGACTTTCCTTTGTTAAATAAACATTTATTGAATGTAAGGGAGAAACATAGAACAAACAGAGTACAGTTTCTGACCCCCGCCCCTCCTCCGCTGTGATGCGAACCCAGCAGTCTCCACATCAGGATGTGTTTGTCCTTGTCAAGGTTATCGACCCACTTTAGGTTTATGAGACGAGTTCCTTCCTGTCCTCAAGGCCCAGACATTTTGTTCTCAAACATTTCTGTTTCCACATAGCCTTTCTCCTGATGTATTGGGGGGGGGGGGGGGGGGGGAGATGGATTGATCTGAGTAGGTCATCCTGCTTTTGAGGACGTTCACCTCTTCAGCCTTCATGGTGTAGTGTGAACACAGCCACCCACAGCCTTCCTAAAGCCCACAGCCAAGCCAGCGTCAGGATCTGTGTGTCCCACGAGGGTCCCTGCAGCTTCACCTCAATTCCAGGGGCTCCAGGCCCAGGCCTTGCCGGCTTCAGGAGGAGCCTGGGTGGCGTGTCCAAGGCCGTGGCCCAGACAGCCCTCTCAGACACGGAACGCTTGTGGTCTAAGCCTCGTTTTTGCCCCAATTAACCTTCAGTTGAGTGTGCAGATCATGTGAACACCAGGCTGAATGATGGACGTTCTTTCACTGGCTCTGCGGATACGCGTGGTGGTGTAGCTTTCTTTTCTCTGTGTCATCAGGATTAGACACCTGTGTCTGAGGTGATTTCTCCCTCAGCCCCACCGGTTCTTAAATTGCGAAGGAAAATGCCTCTGTTGTCAGCGATGACCAGAGCCAGAGGGAGGCTCCCATCAGCACTGCGCTGCACAGGCAGGGCCAGCCTGCCTGCCTGCCGTGCACACAGATGTGCTGCCTTCAGAGGGAACGAGGGAGCGAGGGAGGAGAGGGGCGAGTGGAACCAGGAGAGTGAAACGTCAGACATGTTGGTGAGAGCATTCGGGCACCTCTGTCCTCCGTGGACACCGGGAGACCGGGCCTGGCCTTCCTGATGACTGCACGGCACAGGGGTGGCGCTGGGCCCTGGGGAAGGACACCCGAGGTGGAGGAGGGACAAGCCCATCTCGGACAGAGGAGGGACTCACCCTCGCAGCTAAGCCCTTTCTGGTAAAGCTTTAGGAAGGGGGGCTCGGGCCTATACGGGGGGCTCGGGCATTGTGGGGTGCTGATGGCGAGTTGGCGGGCACTGTGCTGGGGCCTGTTCACATCTCTTACTCCGGGGGCAGAGGGCACAGATGGAAGTGTGCTGGGAGTGTGCGGTTTTTGTGGGCCAAGGGGAGGGCTGTTTGAGCAGGTGGCTCAGGAGCCTGGCTAGAGCTAGGTCAGAGAGTCTGTCACTGTCCCTGGTGGAGAGTGATAGAGGAGCGTGGCCGAGTCCCTCGTCGGTGTGGGTACAGGACTGCGTTGCGTATTTCAGTTTGAGTCTGACGGGCCACAGCTGTCCAGAGAGGAGCATCTGATGGAGGAGTCAAACCGAGAACTTAGGTTGTCAAGGAAACCATTTAGAAATCGATTCAGTTCACTTACACGGGAGCATTCTCTCCTACATTGAATGTCAGGGAATCAGCAGAGAAGCCTTTAGACTGGAGGACAGAGCACAGTTCACGTTAATGTTACTTAAAAGCTTGCTTTCAGCCCAGTGTGGCTGGGGGAGGTGGGGGTGCGGGGGCGGAGGAGGCAGCTGGTCAATGATTCTCTCTCATCATTGATGTTCCTCTCTCTCTCTCTACCTTCCTCTCTGAAATCAATAAAAATATATTTTTAAAAGATTTTGCTTTTAGCCTTATTTACCAGCTGATACTAGTTATTTGTTTAGGTTACTAAGTCTTAAGTTCTCTTTTTAGAAATTTACTTAGTGTCAGCACAAACGAAGATACTTTAAAGCCGAGGTATAGAACAGACAGTGTTTTATATCTAGTGATATGAGTGTATTTCTGTGTTAGATTCATAGGATTGAAATGATTAGGTCAGGGGGAACGGGCAGTTGTCAGGCTCGGGCTGTGGCTTGTCCTTCCTGCCAGGCCGTCCTCACCTTGCACGGGCGGAAGGCCCCCACGAGTGTGTGCACCCTGACCGACAACGAGGAAGAGCTTTCTTCTCAGCACTGCTCAGCATCAATGAATCCAGGACCTTGTTGGTCATTTCTCTTTCATCGTGCATGACTGTCTTACTCTTTGCACATTTTTCCATTAGTTTGCTGCTTTTCATTCACTAACTTAGAAGAGCTCCTACTTTTTACCTCCTAATTAATCATTTGCCTCTTTTTTAATCCTGTTTTAATTTATAGAAATTTAATACTTTGATCATAAAAGTTAATTCATCGTTCATTATGTTTATGCTCAGAGAACCCTTCTAATCCTGTATTTGATAGTTCTCTGTTTTCCTCTTGCACACTTATTACTTTGCTTTTTCTGTAAGTTCTTTTATAGATTCTGAGATTTATCTTGGTACCTGAGGGGCAGGGAGCCCGACGGGCTGTGCGTTGGGGCGCACTGGCTAGGTCTGTGCTGGCAGGGCCTGGAGTCACAGCCGCTTTGTTCTTGGGCCCTGCTGACCGCCTCGCTCATTCTGGGTGTGACTCGGTTGCCCTCACATCTACGTGTGTCGGCCAGCCTCCTGCTTCGGTGTCACTCCTGCGCGTGGTCTGGGTGATGAGTGGAACGTGGCCGCTGCGAGGCACGGAGCCCCCTGGGGCTGGCCTGGAGGACAGTGCAGCTTCTGCCTGGGTCTCAGGCTCCTCACAGGCGCTGTGAAGCTGGAGAGGCTGTCCCTGCAGCACCCACCGCCCTCCCCAGCCCCTGAGCACAGAAACTGAGCAGTAAGAGGCGGCCGGTGTTATTTTAAGTGACTGTATTTTAGGATAATGTAATACTTAGCAATAAGTAATACAGTGTGCAAGCATTTTTAAAAATAGGTTCAGATGTGAGTCTGAGCTAAATTTGAAGGGTGAAATGCCTTAAAAATGATTTTTGAAGACACTTTTGTCTTCTGTGGGGACAGAGTGTACGTTTTTGACAACTCCAGGATTCCAGGATACTTCCCTGGTCTGTGCCCAGCTCTCAGAGACCTCGACTGTTCCGTCCTGTGAACACTGAGGAGGGGTTTCTGGGAGAGTAGCTCCCAGTTCCCTGAGGACAGCACTGCCTTCTTCATCAAACACCTATCTGTGTCAGAGTCTGCGATGCGCCACTGACGGCGAAGACAGGGTCCCTGTGCTGTCCTGGGGGCTGCTATATAGTTGAGAGGGTAGGACCTGCACCTCCAGGCAGAGCCCATGCCCATTGCCCCTAAGGCTGGTGTTCAGTGCAGGGAAGGAGGGATGAGTGGGAGTGAAAGGGGGAGCCCACCTCCCCCCAGGGTTGGTGTTCAATGTAGGGAAGGAGGGATGAGTGGGAGTGAAAGGGGGAGCCCACCTCCCCCCAGGGCTGGTGTTCAATGCAGGGAGGGAGGGATGAGTGGGAGTGAAAGGGGGGGGCCACATCCCCCCCAGGGCTGGTGTTCAGTGCAGGGAGGGAGGGATGAGTGGGAGTGAAAGGCGGAGACCACGCCAGGCAGCCAGGGTGCATCTGCTCCCACAGCCCCTGCACACAGCAGGAGCTTGCTGTCCATGGATGGAGAGATCTGAGCTGGCGGATTGCACTGTAATAGATTCCCCCCACACATACAGTGTAGATGAGAATTGTCATGTGGTTGCCCCAATTGTATGATTCAAAAATGGTAGAGCCCAGTGTTCCATGTTCAGAGTTGTGAGAGAGCAGAGGATGTAACACTTGCATACACACACACACACACACACACACACACCACACCACCCCAACCCGGCAGAGCAGTCAGGTCCTGGACCGACAGGTGTTTGTAGCAGTGGTGATATTTGCGGAGGCCAGGTGATTTCCAAGGCCCCCTTTCTTTAAAAAGGGGGCCAAAGACAATGGAATGCTAAGCAGCTGTGAAAAAGAAGGATCTCTTACCCTATGAGACAGCATGGAGGGACCTGGAGAGCATCATGCTAAGTGAAATAAGCCAGTCAGATAGGGACAAGTATCACATATATGTGAAAACTAATGAACAAAATGAATCAGCCAACAAAATAAGACCCCAGGCATAGAACAGATGGACAGATCTCAGAGGGGGTGAGAAGAGATTAACCAAAGGACTTACCTGCTTATATGCATAGACCATGGCCACCGACAGTAGTGCGGTGAAGGCTTGGAGGGGGAGGGTAAAGGGGAGAAAATTGGGGGAGGACATCTGTAATACTGTCAACAATAAAATACACATGTTAAAAAGCAAAGGCCAAAGCAAAGCTTTCACACCGAGGGAGAACTGTGAACGATGCTGGTAGCAGCTTCAGGGCACTGAGCTGGGTCCGGGCTGTCCTCACACAGCCAGACGAGCACGCCTAGGTGATGGCCAGCATGCACTCGCCACCAGGGATGGTGGTACAGGCACCAGCCCGCCCAGCAGGGTGGCAGCCTTCCTTGGAAGCCAAGAGTCTGCTGCTCCCATGCGGCTCTGCCCGGGCGGGGCCAGAGGAGTGAGTGTGGCTGGCCCCTCACAGGCAGTGGTGAGCCATGGAGTGGAGGGTGGAGCTGAGGAGACAGCTGAAGAGATGGTGGCCAGGGAGGGAGCACTGGTGGAAACGTGACTCTGCGGGCCCTGACTGTCCCAGGCAGTGTGGTCGAGAGAGGTGCCTGGCCACGTGCAGGGACAAGCATGACACCGAAGGCAGAGGCAGCTCCAGAGGAAAAGGCGTCTGCAGAGGTGTATCCACTAGGATTCGGAATTGGCTGTGCCAGGAGCAGACGGTGGGGAACACCTTCACGCTGGGAGGTGCGGTGGCAGTGTGAACTGCAGGCCGGCGAGTCTGGGGATGGGCCGGCAAACACACGCAGACCCGCACAGAGGCCTGCACTGAGCGCTGCCTGCAGGAACTCCGAGGCTATGCCTCGAGCGGTGGTACAAACGGCTAAGTGTGTTAGGACAAGAAGCTAAATCACCAAATTGCAGGTACTTTGAGTGGAGAGAGGGTGAGTGAAGTAGAATGGAGCCAGTCTAGGTTCTTCAGATCTGCACCGTTCGCCTAGGTAAAGCCAGATGCCTGCTTTGTAGGGTTATTGTGTGTGTGTTTTAGCTTTTGTATTTTCTCAAGTTTCTCGAGTCATGTTTGTTGTTGTTTGTGATGTGGAGTGGAAATGAGATCTATGTTGGTACAGATGTTTGGGATGGGTTTTCTGCAAGATTTTCTTTGATCATGAGGTTTACATATTCTGTGGGATAGAAGAAGGTGCAGTGAAATGACCTTGGGTTCAGGAAGAACTAGGTACCCCCATGCAGGAAGGACACAGTCGGCCTTGTTTAGAGGAAAAGTGTTGTCACAGAGGGACCACTCACTGAGCGCGTCTGTATCAGGCGTGGGCTACGTGTGTTGTGTGCCCTTGCATTTGGACCTGTGACAGTCCCTTTGGTGTGATGCTCTTACTATCTCCATTTTGCCTGGAGGAGATGAAGGCTCGAAGCAGCCTGATTGCTCACTCACCACCCAGCTGGGTGCACAGCTGAATCAGGCCACACTGTCCGACTTGGCAGGGATGTGCTGCGGGCACAGGTCTGAGGGGCCTGGGCCAGGAGCCTGTCCGGGCGAGGCTGGGCCTGTCGTCCACATGTCCCTGAGGTTCATGCCGAGCAAAGGGCGCTGACGTGCTGTGGAAGCCTGTGGTGGGGCGAGCAGGCGGGAGGGAGCGGTCTGGGTGGAGGGCCGGACGCAAAGGACCCTCCCCGCGCAGCCAGGGATCGTCAGTCATGCTGCACGTGCAGTTCTGGTTTCTGAAACGTTTTTGTATACAGCAAAAGCTTTCAAATTAGGATTTTCTTTTTCTAG